TATAAATAAGTATTTGTATTTGTGTACAAGCTGTTTAGGTTGTCAAAAAGCCTATATTTTTAGGGTTATTAACAAAGTTTGTGTACTCAGACCAGTAATATTTGGGGTCACAAGTTTTTGCCATGGATATTTTGTGGGTCAGAAGATAAAAAGTTTGGGAACCGCTGCTTTATACAACACTGCAACTGATCTTGTATGGGGTTGAAGCAGCTAAAACAAAATATAAACCTAAAATTAGCTAGATCTGAAATTGAAAATGTCCAAACATCAAACAGAAAGTCTGAGATTAAAATCTTGTTTTAATAAAAATTAGTGTTATGTAGCTGCTGCACTTTCACATTCTTCCAGTGTCACACAAAAACCACAAACAGAAAAGTGAGTTAGGAATAATTTTTTTTTATTTCTCCAAAACTAGAAGAGACAGGATGCAGTAGGCAGCAGAAAATTTATTGGTGGGCTGATGTAACAAGGGTGATTCTTGCCATAATGTGGAACTGTAGTGACACCATGTAGTATTAAACTTTACAATATCAGTAAAGCATTAAATGAAAAAACAAAAGCACATATTAAACCTTCTGTTGTGTATCGTCTGTACCCACCCCAACAAAACACATTCTGAATATTAATTAAACAATGAGTCAGGTTGTGATGAACTGTTTATCACAGTGCTAAGACATGCCATCATTTCCAGTAGCTGATTTGTCTGGGCCAAATGGAGAGATAATGAGTAATAAAACATTTGCTATTGATTTTTCAGGATGCTACATGTTGCTTAACTTTGGGACGTGTACCATGAAAATAATCACACCGTTTCTATAGCAAAAACACCAAAGGAAGCAGAAACACTCCTCTGAAACTAATCCACTGAAAAATATACAGAAGGCATAATAATCATTAATAAATCATGACGTGACTAAAATATAGCGTTTATAGCATTTTTATCTTAACTGATGACAAAAATAATGTACAGAGTATGTGGAATGACTGATTCAAGACACAACATGAACTTATTTTTTACAATGGACTTCAGTCGTGTGGAGATGTGTTTCTCCACTATGCTGTAGGTAATTTGCACTTTGACCGTCCCATCAGCTTTAGATTTACACGACGTAGAAATAAACGCAGGTGCAGCAGTCTCTGTTGTCTTTGCGACGAGATGGAGAAAGAGAGAAAACAGGACGTCAACACAAAGTCAGAGCTCTTTAAACTTAGATTACACAGAAAGTATCACAAGATGAGTCCRTACAGCTCAGCCGCTTCAGCTTTCTAACATTTTTTCTTTCTAATAGGTGAAGGAGTTACATAGGTACACAGTTATAAGCTGTACTCTTGTTTTAAATTACCACAAATATTACCCAAGAGTCTTGAAATAACACCGAACATGCTGACTCCTGTGGTTCCTTCATATACGTGTACGCAAGCATTGCCCAAGACAAATCCAGCTGTTTTCTTTAGCTATAAYATCCTCTGTAACCTATTAGTCAGTCAGAAGGAAACTGAATCTGAGCAGCTCTAATAGAGTTTTTGCATCACAAAGGACCACATGCAGTTTTTTAAAAAATCAAAACTTAAAACTCCCACAAGATGAACTGTGGGGCTGCGGAGCACTGAAACAGAAATACACTGGAACGGCCAACAGCAGTGCAGTTTATAGAATTTGAGCCTCCATCTTGGTAGGCTTCTTTAGTTAAGCTCAGCAGCAGATCATGGATGTCTGGGGTCGGGGGTTGGGGGGCACTATACCTTCACCAAGAAGCCCAACGTTTTGTCATTAATTCTAATTATAGTTAATGGAATAACAGTTTTTTTAAATTGAACATTTTAGTTTTAAACACTGTATTTTTTATTATACCAGGGTTGTTAGTCTCTCTAGACCAGTGGTTCCCAAAGCTTTTGGTGCACAAAATAATAGCAGGAGAGATCTGTGCCCCCAACTATATGGTTTCAAACACTGGTATCTGGTCAAATAAACAAGGAATGGTATAAATATTCATTATACTACTTTTATCTATTTTATGTACTCTAATCACAATCTTTTGTAAAAACTAAAGCAATAAATAAATAAAAATGTTAGTTGTCATTTTTAAATAAAAATAATTTTCAAAATCTTTAAGACTGCTATAGTTTTTGAGATATTAAAGTTTTTCTAGGCCACCCAAAAAGGTAACCAGCGCCCCTATTGGCTCCAAAATGAACCAAAAAAGGTAACCAGCGCCCCTATTGGCTCCAAAATGAACCAAAAAAGGTAACCAGCGCCCCTATTGGCTCCAAAATGAACCAAAAAAGGTAACCAGCGCCCCTATTGGCTCCAAAATGAACCAAAAAAGGTAACCAGCGCCCCTATTGGCTCCAAAATGAACCAAAAAAGGTAACCAGCGCCCCTATTGGCTCCAAAATGAACCAAAAAAGGTAACCAGCGCCCCTATTGGCTCCAAAATGAACCAAAAAAGGTAACCAGCGCCCCTATTGGCTCCAAAATGAACCAAAAAAGGTAACCAGCGCCCCTATTGGCTCCAAAATGAACCAAAAAAGGTAACCA